CATCTGCTCCATAGCATAGTCATTGAGAGTATCTAGAAACTCAATGGTTGATTTCCCACAAGCACTGCTCCATGCTCGCTCTTCCCTTTTGCCCCGATGGTACGTGTCAATTTCACACAAGCTGCTGCGCACCCATATTTTGCCCCACAGCTTCACATGATTTTCCCCGCATCTACTCAATCCTGTTTTTCAACCCTGGCTTTCTGGCCCTTCCTGGGCTTCTTACAGAGCCCCTAAGCCAAGAACCCTTCAGCTCTTATCTTTCAGCTCATGCCTCTGGTGAGGTGCAGCCTTAAATAGAAGCCTCACCCAGCAGAGGGCAGGGCCAGCAGCTATTCAAATTACACCCAGGCAATCCAATTACAGTCAAACAATCGGTCTTTCTCTCTCTTTCTCAAGCAGCCAGGACTCTGCAACAACTTAAAACTCACCCACACACTCCCAGACACAGTTCTCCCACACAGTACCCTCAGCTAAATCACCTCAGCAGAAAACAAATAAAAAACACTCACCCCTCTAGCAGCTCTGTCTCCTGCTGCTTCTCAGAACTCAGTTGGGTCCACAACATTTAAGTTGTAATACCTTTACCTATACTTAAACAGTGGCCAAAGCAATAAAATTCCACAAGCTGAATAATATATCCTTATTTTCATTAGCCAAAAGAAATCCCAATTTCTTCTGGTCTGACCAATTTCAATAGTTTGAAATATTTTCTGAAATAACATAGATGTTCATTTGGATACACATATCCACCCCATAGGGATTCTTAGGCAAGCCCTATTGGTCTGGCTAGATATAGCTTTTGATGCAAAAGTGGGTAGGCATTCACATCTAGAGCCACCAATTATTGTCAGAATCTAGTTGCCCATAACTACAAGTGAATCAAAGTCTTCAATATAGTTTGGATTTCTTCCATTAGGCCATAAATCAAAGAGCACACCACACTTCATCAAATTTAAGGATATGGTGCAGACAGTTTCAATTAAACTAAAAAACTTTAGTAATGCAAAAGTTGAGAAGTAGAAAAAGAAAAAGGCTCAATTTAACTGTTTTATATAACTTTGAGTAACTCCAAGGTTAGCTTTGCTGAAATTGGAAGACAGCTTACAAAGCAATTATAGAATAGTCCTCTAGGATACAGAACCGAGAGAAATGAGAGCTACTTTCATTATTTTTACCAGTTCTTTCTCTGTGTCAGAACCATAATCAATATATTTTTGCATTCAAGTCTTGGAGCCATTTATAATCATATTTTGAAAGATGACAAATTAATAGAAGCTGAAAAAAATCAATACAAAATAAGAACAACAACTTTCTTCCTGCCCTCCTGAGAAATGAAAGAATTAATTATGTTATGTTAAATAAGTAGCAGCTCAACTATTCAAGTTCACTCACAATAATTCCAAAAGTGCTCCAAACTCCTTTAGAAATATGTGTTTTAAACAGAGTTCTCCCTGTTAACAACTATGTGTACAAGTATGGTTCTTGAGGTATACCCACTTACCCTTCATTGTTAACCTAGTACTTAATGTGATATATGATATCAGCTAAAAGATACTTATTAGGGAGGGCTGGTATCCCAAAATATCTTATAGAAAACCTTTTCTTCTCCCAGCAGCTCAAGATGTCCAGTACCTCCATATTCTGCTTTCTGATATATGCCCAAACCTCTGTTTCTCTTTTTCTCTGATACCACTAAATTCTAATCACTTACACAATCAGCAACATATACAGGCCTTGAACATTTGTTCTAAGAAACACACTATTATTATTGAAAAAATATATTTTCTATAACATAATTAAGTAAATGATATATATTAATAATTAGGGTTGCCAGGTCCATTCTGGCAACTAACGGGAGATGGGGGCACTTACCAAAAGCAGCAGGGAGGCTCAGCCAACATACAGCAACATGTGTATGTCACTGCCCACATGACCCAGAAATGACGTCATCACATCTAAGATTTTGGGGTGATGCTCTGGTATTTGGACAAAAAATTTATGGTTAATTTGGCTTCTACCATAGAGTTTTTGGCCAAATACCAGAGCGTTACCTCACCCTCCCAGATGTGATGATGTCACTTCTGGGTCACATGGGCAGTGACATAGACATGTTGCTGCACATTGGATGGTTCTCCCTCTTTTTCAGGGTAAGTTCCCTCCCACTTGACAGCTGACTGGTGGTGGGGAGGTGGGGCCTGGCAGCGGGAGACCCTTGCTTCCACTGAGGGGTCTGTTATATAACTGCAAGTCCTTTCCTCATAAATGTATGTATTTGGAAACAAATATTTCTTTCCATCTAAAAATAAAGACAGGGGACATTTTGAGCAGAAATGCGCAGGAATGGCATTCCAGGAGTAACAAGCCTGGCCCCGCCCCCCAACTTCCTGCAAAGGCCCCCCGACTTCCTTGGCAGCTCAGGCCCCCCGACTCTCTGGGCTGCCCAGAGGACTCTCTGCCGCCACCCTTTCCCTGCCTGCCAGCCAGCAGCCCTGCAGGCCTCTCCTTACCTTCCTCCACAGCCTCATTGTCTGACTCAGCAGCGCAGAGCAGCAGAGAGGGGCTTGAATCGGGGCCGGGCTGGAAGCCCCACTGGCTGCACTGGCCAGCTGGTCGGGAGGTGGAGAAGGCATGGCCCGGCGCCACAGCTTGCCTGCCCACCTGGAGGAGGAGGAGAAGGAGCTGGGAGAGGGTTCTCCCCAGGCACATAGCCAGGATTTTGGGGGGGCATTTAAATTTTTCGGGGGGAATAATATATTAAATAACCCTTACTTACTTAATTCCAAGTAGAAGCACAAGTGGGGTAGTGTGAGGTGAAGGGAGGGAGCTGGGACCGAATGGCAAAAAGTCCCCCCCCCCTTCACGTTTATGGAAAGTGAAACCTTTTTTCTCTAAGCTGCTGCCTTGAACTCCACAAGAAGGGGGAAAATATGAGGAAAGACTGGAGGAGGAAGAAGTGGTGCTCCAATCCCCAGAGCTGCAGCATGCTGCTGCCGCTGCCGCTTCTGCTGCTGTTTTGGGCATGGAGCGCCGTGGGGCTGAGGGACGGTTAGTGCTGCAGTGGCAGGGAGTTTTGCACTCTGCGGGGGAGGTGGGCAGTGACTGTCCCCGCCAGAGGCCTCTGGGCAAGCCCAGCCTCCCCCCCTCACCAGCCCCGCTCTCTTAAGCCATGGGAAGGTGGCAGGGCGGGCTTCGCTCCATGCTGCTGTAAAGCAGAAGCCTCCAGGCATGGTCAGGGCATCCAGGGAAGTGGGGCAAGAGCACCCTCTTGCCATTGGGTCGGCATGTGGTTTGAATTGCAGTGCCATCAGAAACCCAACACTGCTCGCCCTGGGCTGTGATGAAGCCAAATTCATGTAAGGAAGGAAAAAGAATAAGAAAAACAAAAAAAAGTTGGTGAGGGGGTTCAGCCGGGCGCCTGGACTCTGGGGTTCTCTCTGGTGAGAGGTGAGGGCAGAGAAGGCGGGTGCCACAACCACCAGGGGAGGGGGGGTTCAGTGAGAGCAGCCATGCTGGTCACTCTGCCAGGAGGGAAACAACACAAGTCAGCAGCTGAACGAGTATTGTTGGAGAAAGCGAGGCGCTGCGCACCCTCGATGCACAAGGGGAGGGGTGAGACAGGCATGCACCTGCTTTGCTCCACGCAGAAACTCTGCAGCCGAAGGGGACGAGTCGAGCACAGCCTTCCCTGCAGCACTCTTCAGCCAGGGAAGCAGCGCGCCCAACGGCACCTTCAGACAGCCGCATCTCAGATCCTACCAGCGCCGCACCGCCCAGTCCCTCGCCTGAGTGCAGTAAAGCAAGTATAAAATAAAGTGTAGCATGGGGGGGTGGGGATGTTTAATAATGCCAACAATCCCAGTGTCTCCACTGGGGGGTAGGGATGCCAGGCTCCAGGTGGAGTGATAAATGACTTGTCTTTATGGTAGGTGGCAAACATGGGCAGCATTGTGTTCATGGCTGCTGGTGTGATATCTGTTTGGGATTATGCCCTGTCTGATCTTAATGTGTGTGAAGGTGCAATAGAACGCATGCTCCTCAAGACTGCTATAAACATTGCCCTTTTAATTAATATCTATCCCAGCCTTCAAGCATTTGTTTCTGTCAGAAAAATGTAGGGGGAGAGAGCATGTCAGGCCTGACAGCAGCCACCATGCAACTTGCATAACTCATGCAGGCCCAACTACTTGCTACTGCTCAACAGTCGCTGCCACATGAAGTGTTGTGTAGTGGTTAGTGTTCCAGACAAGGATTTGGGAGACCCAGGTTTGAATCTGAGTTATGAAACACCTGGAGATTTTTGGGGTGGAGCCTGAGCAGTGGGTGTTGCCTTCTAACACACTTCCGGTGATGTCAGGGGGTGTGACATATGCAAATAAGTTATGCTAATGAACTCCTGTACCTCTTTTTCTACAAAATAACCCCTGAGTAAAGATAAGTATTTCATTTGAATCCATATGCATTTATTATTCCCTTATCTGAATTAAAATTGTAATTTTTTCTGGTACTGAAAGATCCTAAAGTTTCTTCAACTAAATAATTTACATCACATCTACCTTGATCTTCCCAATGTTTAACAATAAATGCTAATGCCTACTAAAATATAGACTGAAGTTTTTCACCAATTTGCTTACATTTCCTAACAAGATCTCTTATGCCTCAAAAGACAATGTATAACTGTCCTATATTTGATTATATTCAGAATATTTTTTCCAAAAGCCCAATATAACACAAATGATCTATAATACATATTGTGACCCCTCGCAAACCAGACATACAGCACTCCATGAGTTCAGTTCAACACTGTGTGAAATAGGAATCACAGGAGCAATATTCCTGTTACTGGACTTAATACTGTCATCTTCTGTTTCATAATAGCTGTTCATGAAAGCAATTTATAGCCATCGTTTCTGCCATCATTGCAGTACTGTAGCAAGAAAAGCTGTAGCCAACACGCTCTTTACAATAATCAGTCACAATAATAACAAGAGTACAGTTACCTGCACAAATAAAGCAATAATGGTGATACCATTCTTCTTCCCAATTGCCTCATCAATACTGTGGTACATTGTGGAGTTCCAGTGAATTAGGTGAAGCTATGAAAAAGGAAAGAAAGAGAGAAGATCACCCACAGGAAAACAACATATTCATTGACTAAGATTGCCTCAAATTTGGGATACTGGAGCCATTTCTAGACACTGCCTACTACCTACACGTTTTTAGACATGTTAAATGTCACTAGCTTTGACTGCAGAGATAGAATGAAAGAAAATAAATGCATTTCCTAAAAAAGGAAGAATTTTTCATTTGCTGTAACCTCAAAGCTCCCCCCCCTACTTTTTTGTAATAAAGACAATCAAAAAGAACAGAGTCACAGGAAAGGGGGGGGGAGAGGTTCCAGCATTAACCCTCTTTTATGTCTGGATACTTATGGAGCTTATATTGAAAAATCAACAAATGAATTTTACCTGTTATCTGCGATACTTGATAATCTTCCATTTATATAAGATAATAAATGGTCACCCAGAGGTCATTTCGGGGGGGAATGTGGGGGAACACAGTTCCCCCGGGTGAGGTGCAGGCGGCAGGGCACATGACGAAGCCCCGCCCCCTGCTTCTGGCCGCCCCGCTTCCAGCCCTCATTCAGCCAGGAGGAGGCAGGAGAAGAGGGAGGGTAAGTTGCTTCCTCCCCGCCTCTCCCCACCCCTGCCTGCCTGGGGCCAGGGAGGGCCTTGGCGGGGCTTCCTCGCACCTCCCGCTGGCCTTGCAGGTCCACCGCCAGGCCCCTGATGTCAGGGGGTGTGGCATATGCTAATGAGTTATGCTAATGAGTTCCCCTAGCTCTTTTTCTACGAAATGACCCCTGTAGTCACCTATGCGAGAATTTCTAACTGCTGCCACATTTGTAACTGTGGCAGTTGCCATTGCAGACCTTTTTGTGACGCCTCATCAGGGTTGCTTTTAAACAGGCCTTTCAACACCCTCTGCAGATCCCACATAGAAAATATTCTTTCAAATAGCTACAAGGAATCCATTGTTATAAAAGGAAGCAGTCAAGTTTTGCTGGCTGGGTGCCGTAACAATAAAATTCACAGTCAGAAGCAGTCAAGTGTTACAAGTAGGCCTCACCTAGAGATATTGCCTATACCTTTCAGTGTTGGGAAGGCCCCTTGTGCACCGCCTTAAGTCACCATGGTTGGCGGGAAGGGTGGTATACCAATACTTTGAAAATAAAATGCTTCAGTAGAAGATACTGTTATTTCTTGTTGTCATTTACATTTTTATCTCACTCGTATTCCAAGGCATCTTTAAAGGGTCTTTTTGCAAGTGGAGCATGTGGCCGGCGACAGCCCCTGTCTCTCCCTCCTGAAAGATTTAAAGGGACCTCCAGTTGATCGGCAGGCCACATGCTCCCTGCTGAAGCCCTTTAAATCTTGCAGGAGGGGAGTGAAAGGGGTGGCCCTAGGTGGTTGCTCTTGGGGGCAGGGCTTGGTGCATGCTCACCCACCCCCAGAACGCCCCCCCCCAAAAAAAACACCCTGCCAGAATGACAAGGGGACCTGGCAACCCTAGCTCTAACTAGCAGTATCTACTTTTGCCCACAGCAGGGAGAGAAGGAGAGTGGATCAGTGAAGAAAGAGTGAGCACACACAAATGGTTCATTAATCACATTAAGAGTGTGCAAACACAAATGCTTCATTAATCACATTTAAGCAACGTAATCCCATTGACCTCAATACAACTTTGAGCAGTCTAACTAGAAAGGACTGCAGTCTGTGGTGTGTGATAGGAAATCCAAGTATATGGCCTTGTGCCAAAAATTTTCCCACAGTAATATGAAATATACCATTATAATATACTACCAGCTGTGTATAGATCAAAACACAGGTGAAAGCACAAGCTACACTGGTGCATGATTGGGCCTGATTGTATTGACACTGAAAACGCTACTGACTTGATGCCTATTGACTAGCATCATGTATCTCACAAGGATATCTTGAGCAGGGAAAATGGGACCATACCACTCTGAATTCCTGGGAAGAAGGGTAAGATGTAAGTGTGAGGAACTGCAGCCAAAAAATTTTACTCTCATAATTTGTCACAAGGGTATTTTAATCAAATGTATACCATATGACTTAAAAACTATCAGGGAAATCTGCAATTTCAAAACTTTGCTTTGTTCAAAAAGAATTTATTTTGCTATGGCCCACTAGAGGGTGCTCATGCTATCTCATGAGTATAATACACAGCACAAAGAAAGAATCAAGAAGTTTGTTTACACACATCCATGGAAACGTCTGATAAAGAGTTAAGTCCCAGCCACTGGTCCTGTTGGAAAACAATGACCAAAATCACTCCCACTATTATCTTCTTTTAATGTCAATGTATACCTTGCCTTCAAAAGTTATAACAATGCTACAATAGATAAGTTTACAATGACCGTATTTCTAAGTCACTAGGCCTTTTGAAAGGCTTTCACTATGGGGGTCACATTCAAAGAGGTAAAGATTTCATGCTAACTTTTTCTCTTGCTCTCTCTAAAAAGTAGATTTCACCCAGCAGTTTCATGACATAATCAATGAAAATAGTGTTGCCTGTTGGGGGAGCTGCTTTGCATTTAATGAATTGGTGAAAATATTATAACCCTCAAATTTTTGTTGTTCAGTCGCACAGTCGTCATTTTGGCTACCTGAGACACTATTGATATTTTACTTTTAAAACCTGTGCACAAAAAGTGCTTCACCTTAAACTGTAAAGCACACACTCTATGTCTTTCATGACCTTGAAACACTGTAGGGTTCCTGGCACCCGGGTGAGGATCCCCTGCTCGCAGCTCTCTTCTCCCCCCCCCCCACTACTCAGAGCAGTGGCAGGAGAAATAATTTTTTTTAATGGCTGTTGGTTTTATGGAGCAGAGACTCTGTGGTGTGAGTTGTGTCAGTAAATGGAAGAAGGTCTCCATAAGCACAGTCTTCTTCAGGAACCGGAGTTTCTCCTGATTCACCTGCCTGCTACACCCCGTTAGCTGCTCTTGCATATTTTAAAACTTGTCTGGGGCAGTGATTTCATCCTTTTGAGTCTCTCTCTCTCTCTTTCTCTCTCTCTCTCTGGCCAATTTCCCACAAGCACTACTCCACGCTTGCTCTTCCCTTTTGCCCCGATGGTACATGTCAATTTCACACAAGTTGCTGCGTGGCCGCATTTTGCCCCGGAGCTTCGTGCGATTTTCCCCACGTCTACTCAATCCTCAAAAAACAGGGAAGAGGGGCAAAAGGGAAGAGCGAGCCTGGAGCAGAACGTGTGGGAAATATCTCTCTCTCTCTCTCTCTCTCTCTCTCTCTCTCTCTCTCTCTCTGACTCACACACACAAATTCTTACTTCAAATGCAGCCTCCAAGATGCTACTTTAATAAATATAAATCAGTTTGGTGTAGTGGCTAATCCGGAGAACTGGGTTGGATTCCCCAATCCTCCTCATGAAGCCAGCTGGGTGACCCTGGGCCAGTCATAGTTTTCTCAGAACTCTGTCAGCCCCACCCTACCTCACAAGGTGTCTGTTGTGGAGAGAGGAAGAGTGTAAGCCTCTCTGAGACTCCTTTGGATAATGAAGGGCGGGATATAAAACCAATTTTTCTTCTTCTTCATAGGGCAAATGACCTGTGGCTCTGATCTTATATTCTAATCTGTGGATACTTAAATCCACTGATTGGGGCTACAGTGAAATAAATCAGACAGTTCGGCAAAAAAAACACCTCAGGTTGGCAGAAAAATCTGAAATCATTACAAAAAATTATACTGGGGGGTTAACCTCTCCCCTAAAAAAACCACTTGTGCATACAATGCTCCTACCTACTCTTCCATTGGTGGGCCCAGCTGAGACCTGCAGTGGACCCGGAAGCATCGACAATGGAGGAGGGGCAGGAGCCACGGCAAGCCTGGGAACACTGACAATGGTGGGGTGCCCAGAATTTGCAGTGGACCCAGCGGCATTGGCCATGTTGGAGGGGTGGCCAGGAGCCACAGTGGGCCCAAAAACATCAGTGATGAGGGGGGGAAGTTGCAGCAGGCCTGACGGGAAACTGGGAGCCATACCAGACTCAGTGGGGAGAAATCTAAGAGAAGTAAGAAATCTCTCTGCAGGTGTCGTGTCTATACCAGAAAGAACAAGCTATGCTACAATGTAGACGTTCTTTTGGTGATACCTAGAGCTTTCTTAGCAAGCTTAGCAAGTCCTTTTCTTTAAAATAGCATTTCAGATTTTTGCATGTACCAGCCCTTTGCGAATATGTTGCACTGAATCATCATCATACATAGAACACACAATCAAACTGAAGATATCATGAGACCAGTGAAAGTCGAGCTCAATATGAAGCTTTGATTTACAACGTCAATGAAGCTACTAGGGAACAACAAAACACACTGTTATTGTGCTACTTGATTTTAAATATGTAATTTTAGGGCCTTAAATATATTCAACTGAAACAATATAGAGCAATTACTTGTGCTTAAAAGGGGGGAAATATGATTATGAGTACAAAAGGGACCGTAGTAGAAGTTGGTTGCATTAGGGAATGCCAAGTTCATTGGCACATATTTTTTGCAATATCTTGATTTGTTGCTTTTGCTCTACAGAACAGAAAGTACAGGAGAAAACAACTGCTTTATGCCTGGAAAAGACACAACTTTTTATATAAGCAAACAGTGTAACTGCTAGTACACACTATGGATTCATAGAGACAACCAGCAGATTAGCATGGAGTGTGGCTATGCTGAGCATCTAGATTGCCAATGCTAAATGTGCATTATGTGTGCTGCAACCCTCTCAAAACAGTCCTGTAGTTTTGTGTAGCCTAAGCCCACCCTAAGAAGTAAATCCCCGTGGTTTCAGTAGGCCTGACTTCCAAGGAAAGAGACATAGGATCTAGTGTTGCCACCAGGTCTCTAGCTTTGGTTCTAAAATAGTAAAAAGCCCAGCAGCACCTTTAAGACTAAACAGGGGTCTTTTGGGGCCAGAGCGTGCCAGAGCACTGCGGCTAGGGGGAGGCCTGGAAAGCTGGCACAAACGGTGGTGGCGGCAAGCCCCGCCCCCAGCTCCT